AGAACAAACAGATCGAAAATAAACTGGGAACACCTCAAGAAATTTGATATAGGGCGCCACTTGAAGGATCCTAGCTTACAGAAGGAAAGAAAAAATTCTTCCCTAGTATCTAAAATAACAAAAAAGGTTAGGAGATTTTTCTAAATAAAATAAAAAAATAGATTAGAGAAACAAATCTAACATTTATTATTGTCTCAAACAGTTTTCAAAAATACAGCTTATACAAAGGCATATTATATAAAAATAGCTGTCAAATACAAATGAAAAAAACTTACATATCTGTTTACAAAAGGTTACAAAATTCTTCGAAATGGTTCCTAGTAGATAGTGTGGCCAAATTTTATGGATATCCTTTTATAAAAAATAAAATTTAATCTTTACTATAAATCAAAATATCTTTTACAATAGATTAAAAATCAAACTGTCATACGTCAAAACAAACATTCTTAAAACAGGATAAAATTATGACATGACAGTTTAAAACACGCCCTAACATAATATTTATTTTAATTACAAATATTTTTAAAAAAAATAATTTATAAAAGAAAGCAAATTTTGTCTTTTTAAAAGAAAATGTCTATTTTTACTTTAAAAATTAATAACGTAAATGTTACCTCAGTTTACACATGTTAACTTAAACTTTTGAACAACTGGCTAATTTCTGCGGGGTATCTAACTGCACATCAACGGAAAGCTTTATTGGAAGCTGAAACTGGCACATTCAAATCAAAACTGCTCCCATATCATTCTACGTGAGGTGAAAAGGCATCTTGGAAAGGAACTGGATTTCTCAAAAAACGAAAAGAAAGCAGGAACTAAACTTGTTCACTTCTCAGACATTATAAATCTTCAGCCAAATCAAAACAGTGGTTAGTGGTCACTCTTTCAGAAACGACATATTACATAGAGTGAAAATTCCACCATTTTTGGCGAATTAATGCCGGCTTACAACATCACAATTAAAACGACCTTTCCCTTCGAGCAATTATTCATCACTGACTTCGCTTGACCCTCTCGATCTCAATCTGCCGGATAGATACCGCCTCACAAAATTTTTCCCGCACAAAACCATTGCCATCTTGTCAAATCAACAAATTCTTTACTCAAACTCGTTCAAACTTCCGGCGTTACTACGCTTTAGAAAAAAGAATACCATGGTTTGCAATATTTTTCTGGGAACGTTGAAGTTAAAAAGCCATAAATTGGTTTCTTTAGCAAATACGTCTTTATTTATTGAAGAATTATTGCGTATTTAAAAATCTCTACAGAGAACACATTTCTAGCATACCAGGGACGTACTATGATAAATATAGAATCGAATTTATATTATTATTTAGACATTAAATATAAATCGCTACAGTCTCGGTAGAAACTGGTGTAGTCATCTCGCTTTTTGTGACGTGTTCCATTCGTTCTGCCACTGTTGCATTATGATATCATTGATATCATGTCTTGTTCTTGCGTCTATTCCAAGTATTTCCTGGACTTTATTGAACTTTTGTTTCTTAAGCCAATATTGACTCGCACGTCTTTTGATTTCCAAGTGCAGTGGCAGAACTCCTGTTAGGACTGTCAGACCGTATCCTACTATAGATGCAAGAATTGCGTTAAGATACACTCTCACTTGTTGAAATGATATTCTCTATTCCCGTTGGGCCAGACTCGCTATGCTATGCATGACTTTCGCAGCTTTGTCACAGACGCTTGTAATGTGCTTACTAAATAATCTGGATTCATCAGTTACGACGCCCAGTATCATTTGTTCTTTTGATAGGCCTTCCATCAATCCTTATCAAAGGATCTCTTTCCAGCCTACCTTTTACTAAACTATACACCGTTTTCGACTGCGAAATCGAGAGTTTAACCCTCCATGTCCACAGCGTTACGGTTGTCATAATTCTGTTGGCTCGTTGTTCAAGCTCTCTCCTTGTATTCGCGTCTATGACTAGCAGCAAGTCGTCCGCATACGCAATGCAGCCAAGCACCTCCGGTGCAACAGTCATTTCCTCAAGCAATTTGTCCAGCATGAGATCCCAGAATATAGGACCACATACCGAACCTTGAGGGCATCCTTTGGTAATGTGCCGTGTCTTTTTGGCATGTGGGCAGCTCAAGCTGGCATACCTGTCCTGACAATAATTTCTGAAACTTCCGTACAAGTCTCCAGGGCACCCCACTTCTCGAAGTCTTTCGAAAAATGCAGGCCACCAAAGATTGTCGAAAGCCCCAGAAATATCTATAAAAATCATCACAGCGTACTTTCGATCACTTCAGTCGATTATTTCATAAACTCTTAACAGCGTCTTCAGTTGATTTTCCACTCCTATACCCATACTGATCGGGGTGCATTCCAATGACGTTTCTAACTTCTTTCAGTCTTTTACAAAGCAATTTTTCATACAGTTTTCCCATCGTGTTTAGTAAACAGATAGGTCTGTATGATTTTGGTAACTTTGGATCTTTGTCTTCTCCTTTGTTAAGTATCACAATTTCAGCTTGTTTGAAAACGTTAGGGAACTTTCGTTATTTTATGCACTGATTGTACATGTTTGTCAGGTGAGGAACTATCTGTTCTCTCAGCACCTGTAGTATCTCTACGTGTGTTATCCGGCCCAGGGGCCTTTCGTTTTTTCATCTCCATCAACAGTTCGTATACTTCCATTTGCTCAAACTCCTCAACTTGCGTGCCAGGTGTCTCGTACCTACGTATCATTTCACTCCTTATTTCCAGTTGTTCTTCGGTCTCGTTTTCAAGATCATCAGGAGGGAGCAGTACATCTAATAGTGTATCTGCTGATTCCTCCCAACTTTCCGTCAACAAGCCGTTTGGTTTTACTAATGACGATAACATAGTCGGACTTTTGATTTTATTTGATACTATTTTGTACGGGACTCCCCACACATCGAGCTGAAGGTGCTTGGAAACAAAAATGTCCCAACTTTTTGCCTTGGTTTCTATTATTTCCCTTTTATACGTTTCCTTAAGATTTCTATAATCATTCAGTTGTCTCTGTCTTTCAAGAAAGATTCGGCATCGTTGGTATCGCTTTCTTGCGTTACGAACTCTGCCTCTCATTCGCGTCAGACTTTCATTCCACGCTGAATTGTTTACACATTGTGCAACTTTTATCCTCGGGATTGACTGATCCATAGCCTTTTGAATAGCTGATGTTAATTGCTTTGCACTGTCATGGACATTACATCCTTCACTTATCGGTTGCGGTAGACTGAATACAGTCTTTAGGTGCTCCCAGTTTGCCTTTCCTATATTGTATCTCCGTTCGGATATTTCCCTACATATTTCAAACGTTATAAAGTTGTGGTCGCTAGTGGTTGCATGTTCTGTTACCTTCCATCCCTGAACGAGATTTGCAGCTTTCACATTCGACACCATAATGTCGATGTTACTTGTTGCTCCCGCTCTGTTCTGGAAGGTAGGTGGGTTTCCTGCCCTGTTGTGAAGCACTAGTTGTAGTTCATTTATCATGTCCTCAACTAGCGCTCCTTTCTCATCCGTTTGTGTAGAGTTCCATAAAATAGATTTCGCGTTTGCATCCGCTACCACCACAACTCTCTCGTTCCTATATGTCCTAAAAATCGCTTTCATTTTATTAATATATGGGTTTATATCCTCACTAAATTTACAATACAGGTTTGCAATTACTATTTTGCCAACTTTGGTTTCTACTTCTACACAAATACAGTGTTCATCACTGAACTGTCCCAACAAGAAAAGTTTAAGTCCTTTGTTGAAAGATACGGTGACCGCCATGGGTTGTTCTCCATAGCTTGCTTTTTGTGCAGTTATTGGCATAAACTGCACTTTTCCTTGCTTAGTGTAGGGTTCCTGTAGACATACAATGTCAAGACATTCCTCCTGGGCAAATTTCCTGACTTCGTGCAGCACTGTTGCGCTGCGCATGCAGTTAATCTGCCCAATACGGATGCTTACGGGTGTCGTGTATGTATTTGGCTGTTGGGCCATTTTTGAGTATAGTCTACTGCTATCCTACCATAAGTCTTTACGAAGTCACCGTATAGCTCTTCCAAATCGAACTTTTCACCTCTCCTATCAAAAACTTTTTTCAGTAACTGAAGCAATATACCTGTGTCTGTTGGTATATTTAAGCACTTAAGTTGTATCCTGTCCACCGCATTCGGAACTGGAAAATGTAACCTTATCACCATACGGATGAAGATGTCTAACTATGTGCCTCAGAGCCGCGACTAGTATGGATGACTCCTCTAGTCGCGATAGTCTCATATTGGTCTCCATATCTTCATACAGAGCCAATATACCTTCATCCTTTGGTTTCGGCTTCTCCTGAGTTTCGCTATTGACAGGTAGTTTTTTCTTTCTTCTAAAAGAAAGTAATCTTAGTCGATCTCGAAATCGCTTCGATGGTGTTTTATGCGATGTAGATGGTCCCACGTTTGGTTAAGTATTCTCAAGTGTTGATAGTTTATTACTATCTTCACTATCGAATTTACTGGCCATAGTCAGTTTTTTGGATCTGTCGATCCAAAAGCAACTTATACGTGGGACAATCCCTCGCATTTTCTTTTTTACAGTCACCTTTTCCTCTTAATTTACACGGTATGCAAGCCTTTTGCTGCTCATTACCTTTCTTGCAATCTTTTCTTTCATGTGGATCACCACAGTTATTGCATGCGGTATCCCTTGTGCAATGTTTTGCAACATGCCCAAGATCCAGACACTTCATGCATTTTGGAACTACTAGGTAGTCCCTTACATTTATGGCGTGAAAGCCAACATAAATTTTGCTTTTCGTTAGTTGTTTACGCATTTCGGGTAATACTTCTGCCACATAGTGGACAGTAGTCTACCCCTTGGTCCCGTCTTAAATCTGATTTTAACACTCTCGTTAAAATCTTTCTTTGACATGTCGTCAAAGTTTTGTGCTCTTATATTTTCTAATATTTCTTCTTCTTTGTCTGTGCTAGGAATGTCATAAAGAATCACCAAAGGTCTCCTTTTTCTAGGCGTTTTCACATTTAAAATTTTCTTGCACTGTTTTGTTTGACTTAATCTTATTCAAATCCTCTTTTGAGGCTGTTTCAATTATTAGTGCTTTGCCCGTCGTTCGCATTTTATTGATTCTAACTTTATTTGTTCTCGGATTTATTAATTTTGTGAACTCTTCCTGCAGTTTTTTGCCACTAGTCAGTTTTTCAGATGTTATAAATAACGTATTATCATCTTTTGCGGTTTCTATTTTTAGTTGTACCTCGCTCTTTGTGGTTCCTGCAACTGGTTGTGCCGCTATTTTGGCATATGTTATTTCTCTACGCTTATTATTTTCATGTCGTAGTCTTTCAACCTCCTCTTTCAACATTTTATTTTGGCCTGTAAGACTGGCCATTTCCATCGCTAATTTCAATAGCCTCGTCTTCAAACCTTCTTTACCTGCTTTCGATAGTCTTTTCGAAGGATCCATATCATTATCAACGTATTCCATGAGATCCTGAAATTTTTCTTCCACTGTCAGTTCTCTCTCCGATGCTCGCCCATTCTCGCTTAGCCTCAGATTTAGACTAGAGCTTTCATAGAAAGCCTCAGATTTAGAATCATAGTAGAGCTTTCTACTATGATTACACTCTACTTGTAATCATAGGCCCTAGGGGCAGTGGGTAGGGACATCTTTTTTTTTCATCTTTTATTTATTTTTTTACAACCAGGCATCTAGTGTCTAATCCTGGTCGGATTATGATACTTACAATTATTTCAATTTTAATTACAAAGTTATAATTATGTTTATAAAGATAAACTAATTATTAATCCTATTACTAATTCCCTAAAATATAGGACCTACTCTTATAAATGTAGAGTTTGTTGTATTCTTACGATTTTTTCTCGTCTGACTAATTTATCGTAACATTTGGCCTCTACAAATGCTAAAACTACACCTAAAACCTAAACTAAAAACCCATCACCTCAAAATTAACTTAAAACGAATTTGTTGTGCAACTCAGCCTGAACCCAAGAACGTGAGCTGCTTACCCTCAACCTTGGGTGCAGTCCGTTTCCACAACTACTATTTCTAACTATCTTTATCCTATCACCTATTATGCGGTTCACGTCCGCCTGAAAAGGAGATAGAGGATGCACGACTTCCACGTCTGGCAGTTCCGGTGAGCCATTAGACCCTTAGTCCAAAACCTTGTCCAGAGGTTTCCGTCGTGCATTCCCGTCGTACGAGGTGTAGCTTGGCACAAAAGTAAAAGTAAAATTTTGTGTGTTAATTTTAGTTCAGTTATTATTCAAATTAGACAAAATATGGTTTATTAAGCATTTCATGTGTAGGCTAGTGGTCTTATGTAGCGTTTATCTAGCGTTTCTTCTTCGCTCATTGTAGAGCTCCAGCTGTTTTTTGGAGACTTTTTCAGCTAGGTCATTAAGGCAGTTATACAGTTCTTCTTCGTTCAGTGCTTCTTGGATGGTCTTTCCGTGAAGCCGTTGTCGCAGGTCTTGCACATCGTTGTAGTTTGCACATTGGAACAATGCATGTTCTGGGGTTCCTATCTGTCCGCATTCACACAGGTCATCCTCCTTGAGGTTGAACCTGTGCAAATAGCTAGGATATGGGCCATGTCCTGTTAGGAAGTGAACTAGTCCTGGTTTCGGATTGAAATATAGTGGTATTTCGCTCAGTGTCGGTAATATCTCATGCAGTCTTCTTGCTTTAGTTGACACTTCCCACTCAGTTTGCCATCTCCTCATTATTTCCACGTTTATATCCTTCCTTGAGTGTATCTCTACACCAAGTATATCGTTTATTTTTCTTTGGTCGTTTTTCTTTAACCAGTATTTGGTTCCTCTTCTTCTAATTTCGAGGTGGAGTGGCATGACGCCCGTGAGCACAGTGAGAGCTACAGTCGATGTAGTGCTAAAGGCTTCTGTCATTCTGACAAGGAAACCTCTTTGCGCTCTATCAACTTTTTCACAGTTCTTTGTGTTTTTGAGTCTGTGTGCCCACGTGCTTGCCCCAAATCCTATTATGGACGCAAGGATAGTGCTCAGGTATACCCTTACCTGACGAAACGGGATTCTGTAATCCCTCTGCGCCAGGCTCGCAATGCTATGCATCAACCTTGTTGCCTTCTCGCAGATGCCAGTGATGTGCTTACTGAATAATCTAGACTCGTCAGTATTTAGTATCCCAAGTATTTAGTATTCCTTGTTCTTCGGATAGGCCTTCCATCGATCCTTATTATGGGATCTCTTTCCAGCCTATTCTTTACTAAGCTGTACACTGTTTTGCTCGTTGACACTGTGAGTTTTACTTTAGATGTCCAGACTGCGATTCTCTCTAGCACTTGGTTTGCCTTCGTTTCTAGTTCGTGTCTACTATTGGCATCTATGATAAGCAACAGGTCATCCGCATAAGCAACGCACCCCAGCACTTCGGGAGTAACAGTCATCTCGCCAAGTAGCTCCTCTAGCATGATGTCCCAAAAAATTGGGCCACATACAGAGCCTTGAGGGCAACCTTTCGTAATGTGTCTTGTTTTCTTTGTGTTTGGACAGCTCAAGCTAGCGTATCTGTCCTGACAGTAATTTCTGAAGCTTCCATACAGATCCTCCGGACACCGCAGACCCCGAAGTCTTTCGAAGAAAGCCGGCCACCAGAGGTTGTCAAAAGCTCCAGAAATGTCTATAAACACCGCCAAAGCGTATTTCTTTTCACAACCGTCGATCACTTCGTACACTCTGTTTACTGCGTCTTCAGTGGATCTTCCGCTCCTGTATCCATACTGGTCCGGATGGATGCCATGTGTCGTTCTTAGTTGATTGAGCCTTTTACATAATAGTCTCTCATATAGTTTGCCCATAGTATTTAAGAGACATATGGGCCTATATGATTTTGGTTGTTTAGGATCTTTGTCCTCTCCTTTACTTATAATTATGATATCGGCCTGTTTAAATACATTAGGGAATTTTTTCTGCCTTAGACATTCATTGTATAAGGCTGCAAGAGTGGGTATTATTAGCTCATTAAGAGCTTGCAATACTTCTACATGAATGTTATCAGGCCCAGGGGCCTTCTTCCTTTTCATGTTCTTTAATTGTTCGAATATCTTTTGTTGTGTGAAACCTTCGGTTCCCGGCACGCCGGGTGCCTCATACCTTCGTATCATAGCGCTTCTTATGTTTGAGTGTTCCTCAGTCTCGTTTTCCAAATTGTCTGGGGACAGCAGTACATCTAACAGTGTATCTGCAGACTCATCCCAGTTCTCTGTCATCGAGCCGTCTTCCTTCAACAAAGTTGAAAGAATCGTCGGGCTTCTAATCTTATTTGACACGATTTTGTATGGGACACCCCACATGTCAAGCTCCAAGTTGTTCGACACAAAATTTTCCCAACTCTTTGCCTTCGTATCCTCTATTTCCCTCTTGTATTCTGCTTTTATCCTCCTGTACTGCTCTAGACGTACTTGTCTCTCTTGATAGATTCCGCATCGCTGGTAGCGCTTTCTGGCGCACCTAACTCTGCTTCTCAGTCTCGTGAGACTTTCCTTCCAGGTCGTGTTTGTAACTGATCTCGTCGAGGCTGCTTTTGGAATTGCTATGTTCATTGCTGCTTTTATGGTATTAGTCAAGTTTTTGGCTTCGTCATGTACATTGCATCCTCTCAGTATAGACTGCGGTGGTTTGCATCCAGCTCTTAGTTGTTCCCAGTTAGCTTTACCTATAATGTATTTCTCAGATGACCTGAAGACACTGTCAGCTTCTTTTGCTAGATCGAAGACAATAAGATTGTGATCGCTGACGGTTGCATGCTCAACAACCCTCCAGTTCCGAACGAGGTTTGCTGCCCGCACATTCGATATCGTAATATCTATGTTGCTGACAGCACCCGCTATGTTCTGGAAGGTCGGCGGATTTCCTGGTCTATTATGCACTATTAGTTGAAGTTCATGAATCATGTCCTCAACTAATGTGCCTTTCTCATCCGTGTTGATTGAGTTCCATAATGTCGATTTCGCATTTGCATCCGCAACAACCACAACCCTATGATCTCTATATGCAATTGCTATTTCCCTTACTTTCTGGATGTATGGTTCAATGCCATTGAATTGACAGTACAGGTTTGCTATTATGAATTTACCGATCTTCGTTAAGAGTTCAACGCAGACACAGTGATCATCGCTGAATTGCCTCAGCAGGAGGAGCCTCATATCACTATTGAACAGTACTGTGACTGCCATGGGATTATCGCCTATGCTTATTTTTTGGGCTGTTATGGGCATAAACTGTATCTTTCCCTGTTTTGTGTATGCTTCCTACATACATACAATATCTTTTTTGTTTTCTTCTGCGTATTTCCTTACTTCATGAAGCACTGTTGTGCTCCTCATACAGTTTATCTGCCCAATCCTAATTGTTACGGGTGTCTTGTGTGAATTTGGCTCTGAGGCCATTTTTGTGAAAAATCTGTGGCGATTCTCCCATAGGTTTTGACAAAATCACAGTAAAGTTCTTCTAGGTCAAGTACCTCTCCTCTCCTACTGAAGACTTTCTCCAGCAAAAAGAACAATCTATCCGCGTCGGTGGGTATGTTCGAGCACTTAAGCTGGATTCTATCCACCGCGTCAGGAACCGCAAAAGTCACCCTATCACCTTTTGGATATTTCTTCCTTACTATGTGTCTTAGAGCTGCAACTAGAATCGAAGATTCCTCCAGCCGAGACAATCTCATGTTTAGCTCCATATTTTCATACAGAGCCATAACATCGTCTTTCTTATCCCTTTCTTTGATTTCGCTTTCAACAGAGTGCACGTTCTTTTTCTTTCTTCTGAAAGAAAGTAATCTCAGTCTGTCTCGAAGACGCCTTGACGGCGCTTTCGACTGTCCATCTGAATTTGAAGATACTGTTATTGTTGATTGTTCTAAACCATCTTTGTTATCGAACATTAATTACCGTAATCTGTTTTTTGGATCAGGCGATCCATGAGCAATTTGTATGTTGCACAGTCATTCGACTCTTTTCCACAGTTCGATTTATTTCTATACTTGCACGGTATACAAGTTTTCGGCTGTCCAGCTTTGTTACAGTCTTTCTTTTCGTGGGCTCCGCCACAGTGTCCACAAGTCGTTTCTCTACCACAATGTTTGGGTACGTGGCCGAGATCTAGGCATTTTAGGCACTTTGGTATTACAATGTAATACCAAATACAGTAATTTTTATGGATGCCTGGTGTGTATTTGGCATAGTGGCCATTTTGAGCATAATCCGTGGTGATTCTTCCATACGTTTTCACGAAGTCACAGTACAGCTCTTCTAGGTCGAATACCTCTCCTCTCCTGCTAAAGACTTGCTTTAGTAAGAACAACAGTTCGTTTGCGTCTGACGGGATGTTTGAGCATCTTAGCTGGATTCTATCCACCGCGTCAGGAACTGGAAATGTTATTTTGTCCCCCCTAGGATGAAGTCTTCTGACTACATGCCTCAGGGCCGCGACTAGGATGGAAAATTCCTCCAGTCGTGATAATCTCATGTTCTGCTCCATATTCTCATACAGAGCTAGAACATCTTCGTCCTTAGGCTTGACTTCCTCTTTTACGCCATTTTCGGTATCTACAGAATGTATCTTTTTCTTTCTCCTGAAAGACAATAATCGAAATCTGTCACGAAACCGCTTTGACGGCGTTTTCGATTGTCCTTTCGATTGCATTGATTGCTCTACTGTTGATTGTATAGAACAATCACTACGATCGAACTTAGCTTCCATAGTCTGTTTTCTGGATCAAACGATCCATTAACATTTTATGTGTTGGACAATCTTTACCGTCTTTGCAGTTTGCTTTATTTCTGCTTCTGCAAGGTACGCATACCTTGGGCTGCCCAGTTTTATCACAGCTCTTTTTGCCGTGGGCTCCGCCACAGTGTCCACATGCCGTTTCCCGAGCGCAATGTTTTGATACGTGTCCGAGGTCCTGGCACTTTAGGCACCTCGGCACAACGATGTAATCTCTTGCGTTCACTGCTGTAAACCCTATGTATATTTTGGTTTTTACCATGATTTTCCTCAGTTGTGGGGATACTTCAGCCACATAGTGGACTGTAGATTTCCCTTTTGGACCCGTCTTGAAGCGGATTTTGAAGGATTCCTCGAATTCTCTCTTGGTCATATTTTCGAAATTTTGGACTCATATATTTTCAACGACGTCCTCTTCTTTCTCATAAGTCGGTATATCATAGAATATTACCATCGGTTTCCTTTTTCTTGGTAGTTCGCATTTAAAATTCTTTTTGACGTTCTCGTTGTTTTTAATTTTCTCGAGGTCCTCCTTACTAGCCGCTTTAATTATTAGGGCATTTCCAACGGTTTTCATGCGGTTTACTCTAATTTTCGAAGTTCTGCGGTTCAGAACTTTGGTTAATTCCTCTTGGACTTTTCGTCCAGTGCTTATCTTATCTGAGGTTATGAAGAGGGTATTGGGGTGTATTCTGTAACCATTCCGTTAAATTTTAGAAGCCTCTAAAATTTTAGCGTCCGCTAAAATTATTTTTGTATTCTGTAACTTATGCATCCGTTAAAATTATAACCTAAACCGTTAAAACTCCCGCTAAAACAGAATATTTTAGAGGATGTCAAAACTTGTCCTCTTATTTTTAGCGCCCGTTAAATATCATTTGATTATTTTTGTTTGGTTAGGTTTATATGATTATTAGTTGGTTATTTATATATTATAGTGCAGATAAACAATTAAAAAAGACAAATAGCTTTTTATAATATATTTGGTGAAGCTTTAGTTGATGAAATAATAAATAATAATGAAAGGTAACTCTCAGTTTACTTTATAATCCGTGTGTTACACCTATAACAAAATTAAAATTTTTTATTCTTTTTGTAGAGCTGAATTCAGATTACATCAAGAGATAATCCGATATATGATCAATCCTTTCGCATAACACATGGACTTTTCCCAATTCATTTAGGATTAATTTTATTCCTGTTTGAATTTTATTTTCTTTTAAAAAAAACTTATCAAAAACTCTTTTTGAGATTTTGTTGTTCGTGGAGCACGAATAATAAACTTTTATTAAAACGAAAATAAAACCAACTCGAACACAAATAAACTGAAATATATTTTCAATAATAATACATACATAAAATAATAATAACAAGTCCAGCAGACTGTCAACTTCGTCTTCTTTCTTAAGTTTTTGGCCTCCAACTTTTAGTTTTTGGTCAATTTTTACCTTATAAGTAGTTTAACACCATTAACGTGCGACGTTGCCGTAACTGATCGCAAACTTTTTAGAGGATTCCTCTAAAAAAATATATTTTAGCGGTCCTCTATAATATTTCTTTATAGAATGTCAATGGTACCTAAAACTTTAAGAGGACCGTTAAATGTTAAATTTTAGAGGCCTCTTAAATTTAACGGAAATGTTACAGAATACACCCCATTGTCCTCTTTCTTCATTTCTATCTTGCGCTCAGTATCCGACCTTGTGGTCACTGCGGGTTTTGCCGCTACTCCAGCATACGTCTCTCTTTGCACTGTTTTCTCTTTACGCAGTCTCTCTACTTCTTCCGTCAGTATTTTGCACTGACCCGCCATATTCGCTAAATCCATTGCAATGGTCATAACTCTGGATTTGAGTCCATCTCTCCCAGTCTTATTTAGCCTACATGCCTTATCCATGTCGTTATCTATGAATTCAATTAAGTCACGCAAATTATCCTCATATGATGGCTTTTCAGCCGGATTCGTGCTAAGACGGAGATTTAGATTTGAGCAGAAGCAGAAGAAGAAAAACCAACGCTGAAGATGGCAGCGGAAGGGTATCTCCAAATCCGAGCGTGTCAGGCACGCAGGGCGGAGAAGAGGAGGAGACTCTTCTCCGCCCTGCGTGCCTGACACGCTCGGATTTGGAGATACCCTTCCGCTGCCATCTTCAGCGTTGGTTTTTCTTCTGGTTTCCATTTTTAACCTAAACTAAAACTTAACTAAACCCAATGTCCTCACACCACAAATTATCGTCTTTTTAGTGCGCACTTGGCCCTACCTCAGATCTTATTGCGGGACGAACCCGTCTTATGGCTGAGGAGTGGTTGCCCGCCCCTAACCACGTAGAGGTGGCGCACTCGGCACTAAAATAGCGTATTTTAACCACTCACCAAAAAAATAAAAATAAATTCCCACTAGGGGAATGAAAATAACTTTTGATCAATTTAACAACTTTTTGATCGCACGTTGCCCGCAGGCCGCTATTCTACTATGATAACACTCTACTTGTTATCATAGGCCCTAAGGGCAGTGGGTAGGGACATTGCATTGCTTTGTGCCCTCCAAAATGAATTGGCAGGACCCTGGTCTACCTGGCCTTTCGGCATACGACCGTTAGCACTCCCACTGCCCCTACGAGTCCGACACCAATTGGAGGTGGCACGATGCCGAAACATCGTGGGGCTCCACCTCCCCCGTAGTACCTGTGTTGCGGGTCACGCCACCCTTCCGTGAATCCTCCCCCCGAAGGCGGAAAGGCACGCAGGTAATGGAATACCACCTCGCACGTAGACAGGTCGCCGCCGAGGAATCACTTCTCTACCACTCGTTAAATCATTCCGAGGTGTGGTACGTGCCGGGTCACCCGCTCCCCTTCCGCGGTGTCAGCTTTCGGGGAGCCACCGTACCTGGCTCGTTTAACCACACCCGGCTCTTGTGGAAAATGAGAGTAGAGTGGTCCCACGAGGTGCTCGTCTCGGATACTAGGAATGTAGACCGGTGACTGAGATGACTAGGCATCTCTGTGCGTTTCTACCAACCCGACACCTCAAACGACGGCCCTCCACCTCTCATATTACGACAGGCAGGGTCTTCTGGCCCCGGCCGTATTTTTTTTTCCATTGTTTTTAGATTACATATTGACCAGGCATCTTGAATCTAATCCTGGTCGTAATTTCCTGAAGGGTTACTTTATTTTATCATGCTATTAATTTGTTATAATTAATTAATTAACTAACTAACTATACTACTAATGTTAATTTCTAAATCTATAGGCCCTAATCCCCTAATGTAGAGTTATTGATTGGTAAAGTATTACGCATGCAAACGTCTAACTTTTTACAAATACATTCGGCCTCTACAAATGTTCACTAAGACTAACTACAACTACACCTACTTAATCTAATATTCTGATTTCGGCCCGCACCCAAAACGTGAGCACTGCTACTCATCCTCAGGTGCGAACCGCAATCACATGCACTATTCTAATTAATATGCCTAATACTATTTACTATGTCTAACATGCATAACATGCAAGTACATGCCATACATGCTCTTATCGAGAGCCAGCGCTTCCCGGAGAAAGCACTACGAAGATCAAGAGAAGATCCCTTCCATCCACTGACTCTAATTGTAGTTATGGTATCGTAGATGTTACTAAGCTTTACTATAAAATAGTAAACTAGTGGAATAATGATATTGACATTTTCTTCGTCTCTTCTGCTGGTCTTTTCGCAGGTAGCTTATCTAGCTATTTGTCTTCTTGCATTGTAAAGCTCCAACTGTCGTTTGGAAACTTTGTCTGCTAAGCAGTTCAACGTGTTGAAATATTCTTCATTTCCTAACATATCTGTTATGGTTAGGTTCTGGAGTTGCATTCTTGATTCTCTCACATTTATTATCTCCGCGTATGTCTCGCATTGAAACAAGGCATGTTCAGGCGTACCGATTTGTCCACATTCACATAGATTTTCTTCGGCAAGATTGAATCTATGCAGATAGTCAGGATACGGGCCATGTCCCGTTAAGAAGTGTACTAACCCTGGTGTTGGGTTGAAATACATCGGGATCTCACTCTAGTCTCGGTAGAAACTGGTGGAGTCTTCTCGCTTTTTGTGTCTCATCCCATTCATTCTGCCACTGTTGTCTGATGGTATCGTTAATACCTCGCAATGTTTGCACATTTACACCAAGTATTTCTTGGACCTTTTGTGGTCTTTGCTTTTTTAGACAGTAAGAACTGGCGCGTTTTCTTACTTCTAAGTGGAGTGGCAGAACTCCTGTTAAGACCGTTAGGGCCGAGGTTGACGTCGTGCTAAAGGCTCCATTCATTCTGACTAGAAAACCTCTTTGCGCTCTGTCAACCTTCTTTGTTCTTTACGTTCTTTAATCTATGTGCCCATATACTGGCTCCGTATCCTACTATCGCTGAAAGAACTGCGTTTAGATACACTCGTACTTGGTGAAACGGTAACCTGTACTCCCTCTGTGCCAAGCTGGCTATGCTATGCATCAGTCTCGTCGCTTTGTCACACACGCTGGTAATATGATACGGACGTACCCAGATACTTAGTGTTGTTCGTTCTTGATAGGCCTTCCATCAATCCTTATTAAGGGATCTCTTTCCAGCCTACCTTTCACTAGACTGTAGACCGTCTTCGACTGTGAGATCGAGACCTCGATGTCCACAGTGTTACGGTTGTCATGATTCTATTTGCTCGTTGGTCGAGCTCTCTTCTTGTATTAGCGTCTATGACCAGCAGCGGGTCATCCGCATACGCAATGCAGCCAAGCACCTCCGGTTCAACAGTCATTTCCTCAAGCAATTTGTCCAGCATGAGATCCCAGAATATAGGACCACATACCGAACCCTGAGGGCATTCTTTGGTAATATGCCGTGTCTTTTTGGCATGTGGACAGCTCAAGCTGGCATACCTGTCTTGACAATAATTTCTGAAACTCCCGTACAAGTCTCCAGGGCACCCCACTTCTCGAAGTCTTTCGAAAAATGCAGGCCACCAGAGATTGTCGAAAGCCCCAGAAATGTCTATGAAAATCATCACAGCGTATTTTCGGTCACTTCCATCGATTATTTCATAAACTCTGTTAACAGCGTCTTCAGTTGATTTTCCGCTCCTGTACCCATACTGATCAGGGTGCATTCCAATGACATTTCTTACTTCTTTCAGTCTTTTACAAAGCAATTTTTCATACAGTTTACCCATCGTGTTTAATAAACAGATGGGTCTGTATGATTTTGGTAACTTTGGATCTTTGTCTTCTCCTTTGTTCAGTATCACAATTTCAGCTTGTTTAAAAACGTTAGGGAATTTTCGTTGTTTCATGCACTCATTGTACATGCTTGTCAGGTGAGGAACTAGCTGTTCACTCAGTACCTGTAGTATTTCCACGTGTATATTGTCTGGCCCGGGGGCCTTTCGTTTTTTCATCTCCATTAATGCTTCATAAACTTCCATTTGTTCAAACTCCTCAACTCGTGTGCCAGGCGTCTCGTACCTACGTATCATCTCGCTTCTAATTTCAAGTTGTTCTTCGGTCTCGTTTTCTAGATCATCAGGAGGGAGCAGTACATCTAATAGTGTATCTGCTGATTCCTCCCAACTTTCCGTCAACGAGCCGTTTGGTTTGACTAATGTTGATAACATAGTCGGGCTTTTGGTTTTGTTTGATACTATTTTGTACGGGACTCCCCACACATCAAGCTGTATGTGTTTGGAAACGAAGATTTCCCAGCTTTTTGCCTTGATTTCTACTATTTCCCTTTTATACGTTTCTTTGAGTTCCCTGTATTCATTTAGAAGTCTCTGTCTTTCAAGAAAGATTCGGCATCGTTGATAGCGCTTTCTTGCGCTACGAACTCTACCTCTCATTCTTGTCAGACTTTCCTTCCACGCTGAATTGTTTGCACATTGTGTTACTTTTATCCTCGGGATTGACTGATCATCATTGACTGCCTTTTGAATAGCTGAAGTCAATTGCTTTGCACTGTCATGGACGTTACATCCTTCACTTATCGGTTGCGGCAGACTGAACACAGTCTTTAAGTGCTCCCAGTTTGCTTTTCCTATATTGTATTTTCGCTCAGATATTTCCCCATTTGGTTTCCTGTTATCACATATTTCAAACGTTATAAAGTTGTGGTCACTAGTGGTTGCATGTTCTGTTACCTTCCATCCCTGAACGAGATTCGCAGCTTTTACATTCGACACCGTGATGTCGATGTTACTTGTTGCTCCCGCTCTGTTCTGGAAGGTAGGTGGGTTTCCTGCCCTGTTATGAAGCACCAGTTGTAGTTCATTTATCATGTCCTCAACTAGCGCTCCTTTCTCATCCGTTTGTGCGGAGTTCCATAAAATAGATTTCGCGTTTGCATCCGCTACTACCACAACTCTCTCGTTTCTATATGTCCTAAAAATCGCTTTCATTTTATTAATATATGGGTTTATATCCTCACTAAATTTACAATACAGGTTCGCAATTATTATTTTGCCAACTTTGGTTTGTACTTCAACACAAATACAGTGCTCGTCACTGAACTGTCCCAACAAGAAAAGTTTAAGTCCTTTGTTGAAAGATACGGTAACCGCCATTGGTTGTTCTCCGTAACTGGCTTTTTGTGCAGTTATTGGCATAAACTGCACTTTTCCTTGCTTAGTGTAGGGTTCCTGTAGACATACAATGTCCAGACATTCCTCCTGGGCAAATTTCCTGACTTCGTGCAGCACTGTTGCACTGCGCATGCAGTTAATTTGCCCAATACGGATGCTCACGGATGTCGTGTGTGTATCTGTCTGTTGGGCCATTTTTGAGTGTAGTCTACTGTTATCCTACCATAAGTCTTTACAAAGTCACCGTATAGTTCTTCCAAATCGAACCTTTCACCTCTCCTGTCAAAAACTCTTTTCAGCAACTGAAGCAATATATTCGTGTCTGTTGGTATATTTAAGCACTTTAACTGTATTCTGTCCACCGCATTTGGAACTGGAAAAGTAACCTTATCACCATACGGATGAAGATGTCTGACTATGTGCCTCAGATCCGCAACCAGTATGGCTGGCTCTTCTAGCCGCGATAGTCTCATATTGGTCTCCATATCTTCATACAGAGCCAATATACCTTCATCCTTTGGCTTCGGCTTCTCCTGAGTTTCGCTATTGACAGGTAGTTTTTTCTTTCTT